TTTAACTAGCAGTAAATAAACCAAAGATAAAAATGTAGCTTTTTTCTAAGAGCAAAGGAAAGGTATGAAAAGGCAGAGTGAATAGGAACAGAGCCAGCTGATCATATCATCCGCCAGCCACAATGCTATTACTTCCTGAATCCATAAATTTGCAAGTGAAAATTGTACAGCTTTTTCTTGAATTTCACAGCTGTGCATTTGCAGCTTAAAATATGTAACTTTTTAAAAATTGTGCACAAGTGTTTTTTGTTATCAGTTTGATGTTCAGTTAGTACAGCAAAATCCACAACAAGGGAGTCTCATCTGGCTGCCTAGCTGGAAATCACAGCCCAGCTGATTAAGTTGTCTGTTAAATGATGGAACAAAAGTGTTTGATTATTAAGTGGTGCAAAGTGATCAAAGCATGGCAAGACAGACCTTTCTGAAACAAGCTAAGTTACATTTCTTAACAAAGAGAAAATTTCCTTGGTCACAAAATGGGAACTTCTCAGCAAAGTGACAAGGTTAATTGTGTGTTTACTGGGACACAGAAAGATTGTAAGGACAGACACATAACAACGTGGTTGGACAGCTGCCACATACGAGGGCAGTGGTGACTTCCAATTGCCACTACTGCTGGCATGGTTTTGCAGCTGCAGTAGCAACTGTTCCCCCCAACCCAGTTGGCACCTGGGATGGCTGCCCATCTAAGTGGATGAAGAATCTCTTTTTCCTTTAATGCTGTAGGTCTGGAGCACTTTATAATTCAGTAACAAGCCACTAAAGAACATAACCTTAACAGTAACCGTTCCATATTTCCATTAGTAAATCTATTGATCTATTTGACTGATAGTTTCTCAAAAGCATTTGTCATTTAAACTGACAATAGGAGTTAAAAGTACTTAGTACTTGGGAGCATTCTTTGCACCTTACAGCATTTGATGCATAATTCTGTTATACAGGGTGTGTCTACACATGCATTTACTGCACATTGAAGTTATAGCATAGTAAGTAGGAATAGGGCTGGCATGTACACGTGCGGTCGGCCTGGGACTAGATATAGTCCCAAGTCACAGCAGCTTGCCATGTGCCCCTGTGGCCACCAGGGGAAGCTCCAGCCTCCAGTGACATAGCTGCCAGCATGTGGCAGCCATGCTGAGGCCAGAGGCAGCTGCCAGCACGTGGTGGCCATCTTAAAAGCAGACCCCCACCCTCTGATCCCTGCCAGCCCCTTCCCTGCCTGCTGCATGCCCAGCACAGGGGCAGCATGAAGTGACTCCCTCCCTGCCCAGCTTGCCTCCCTGCACCACCCCTGCCTCTGCCCCTGCCAGGAGCACCCAGCACCACACTGCTCCAGCCTGGCCCATACCAGCAAAGACCACTGCTGCTGGCCATGGTGCTGGCCCTGCTGGTCCCACCAGGCCACCTCCACCCAGGCTCCAGAATAACCACACATCCCAGGGCTGGGCCCAGGGCACGGGCTGTGGGAGGCTCTGAACAACCTCCTCCTCCTGCGCTCCCTGCTCCAGCCCACGTGCCTCACCACCCACACATCTCCAACCCCCTGCCTACCCCTAGCACCACTCTAGGATGTACACAGAGGTCAAATAGTACAAACTGTATTAATACAACACCCTCCCCCCATTCCTCCCTTCTCGAACTGCTCCCTCCATCCTCCCCACCACACACACTGCCCTCCACCACCACTCCCAGCCACCAACAATAAAACCCCTGGTCCCCAAAATAAAAGGACACTTCATGTGTCTGATCCCATCCCTGAGTCCATCTGTGCAGGGCTGAGGGGTGGCATCACCCAGGGCAGAGAGCTTGGTGGCAGGCGGCCAGCTTCCCAGTCACAGACAGTTCCCTTGTGAGTCTGGGGGCCATGGTAAAGGCCAGGGATGCCTGCAGGCAGCACATGCTGCAGCACCTGCTCCAGGGCACTGCTGGGGGCCTGCTGTGGGATGGTGGGCTCTGCTCCACGCGCTGTCACTCCAGGGCCACCAGCTTGGCCCAGTGGGCCTGGCAGGCCTGCAGTTATACCTCCTCCTAGGCAGCCTCCCAGGTGAAGTCCTCTGCCCATCATAGCCACTGGCCCACAACCCAGCCCTCCACTGTGACCACTAGACACTGGAGCAGGTGGGTCCCATTAAGGCAGAACTGCTGGTGCAGCCAACACCTCCGGCTGGCTCTAGTGGCAGGTGGTGGTGAGGCTGCAGCAGCAATCGTGCAGGCCCCTGCAGCCTCTCCTCTGAGTACAGATGTTGCACCAGTAGAGGCAAGAGACAGAAGGCTTTTGTGAGACTTTGCAATATTTGAGAGATAAGATGCTCTGCCCCAGGGGCCCTGAATTGCCTGGCCTTAGATTGGAAGTCAGCCACATGTAGGTGCCCACTGACCATAGTAAGCTGACTGGGCAGGCCTGGGCCCGGGTGGGTGCTGCCTGAGCCCCCTGTACCCACTTGTTCCCTGGGGGATGGCCATAGGCTGCCTGCCTCCCCTGTCCCCTTCCCAAGATGGGCCAGGCCAGATGCTGGCAGCACCTGCTGCCATGGCTCCAGCCCCCACTGACATCCCTCCCCTCGCAGGCCCACTGTTCTGCCCAGTCCCTGGCACCCAGGCTTGGAGCACACAGGACTCCCAGATAACTGAGGTGATGGGCTGGCTGGGCCCTTGCCATCCCCATTGCATACCTCTTCTGGGAAGAACCCTGAGGCTGGTCTCCTGCCATGCTGCTGCTGCACCCGGAGTGTGCCCCTGTTGTGCATGCCATGGATGGTGCACAATGAGCTGTTTGTGGAGGCAGAGGGCTGCCTGGGCCACTATTCCTTGCTGCTGCTGACCTGCTGGTGTCCTGGGCCCACCTGTACTTCTGCATCAGGACCCTGAGCTACAAAGCTGCAGAGGACAACTTCAGTCTTCTTCAGAACCTCTGCCACTGCCTGGAGGCCTATCTGTCACTGAGCTACACATTCCTGCCCCTTGCTACTGAAGAGAGGAGGAGATAGCCACTGGGATTGATGCCTTCCTCAGCACATGAGAGGTCCATGCCTGCCCAGCTGTGGGGACATGGGTTGCTCAATAAAGGCCTGACCTGTGTCCTGACTCTCTGCATGTTGAGGGCAGGCCGGCAGGGTGGGGGGGAAACCCTGGAGCCAGGGGAGTTCAGGCAAGCTGGGCAAGGAGAGGAGGCTGGGGCTGGGAGGGCCCACCCCTCAGTGCAAGACTTACCATGGGCCTGGGGCCAGAGAGGCTGGTGGCTGGCTCCCCATGCCAGGCAGCATCCAACTCCACGTGGTGTCTCTGGCCTTCAGTGGGCTGTGGGCTGGTGCCCGGCCAGGGACCCCCATGGTTGGTGGTGGCATGGCCGGCTGCTCCTCATGTGCAGCTGTAGTGTGGGGCAGAGGCAGCCACTGGCCAGTCTGCCAGTGGGTGCAGCAGCCAGAGAGGAGTGCAAGATGGAGCATTGAAAGCCTGATGTCCCCCCCTCCATTGTTGTGTCACTGGAGATGACATGGTGGGGCATGGGCATGGGCTCCAGGGGAACCAGAATGTGGGTCAGCTCCCATATGAAAGCCATGGTCCTGGGAGCTCCACTGGACTGATGATTGTGGCTAGTCACAGCCACACACTTGGCCCTTGACCTTAATATGGCACTGCTGTGATGACTGGGAGTTGCCTCACACACACATCCCAGCTACCAGGGCCTCATAAATTTGGGCATTTGAGTACCCATCCTGGATGAACTGCCTCAGGACATCTGTCTTGCCTCACAGCCCCACAAGGGTGCACACCTCCTTCTGGGTCCAGTATGGGCCCCTGGGGCCCTGGATGGGTGGGCACATGTGGACAGAGCTGGGGCTGGACATGGGAGGAGGAGGATGTCATGGTCCATGCCAACTGACTGGACCCCCATACAGCTGGCCCTGGGATGCCAGCCCTCAAGGGCTGGCAGCAGCACCCCCAACAGGGGCACGGCCAGGGGGTCACAGCTGCGCAGCTGAGGCACTTCACCATGGTCCTACAGAAAGAAAGAGGTGGAGGGTGAGCAGCAGTGGGGAGCAGGTGCTGGCCCTGGTGGAATCACAGGGCTGGGCAAGGGGTGCAGCAGACTGCAGACCTTTTCAGCACTCACCTGAGGCCAGAGAGCAGCTTGAGAGGGGGACAGCTCGGACACACCCAGCCTGTGGGTCTTCCAGGGGGCACATGAGGCCTGCTGGGCTCCTGGACAGAGAGCAGCTCCTTTAGGCTTCCTGTGGTGTGTGCTCCAGCTAGTGGCTGCCAGAGAGCAGTCCAGCAGCAGGAGAAGAGGGAGCCAGACAGGAGCCCTAGGGATGGGCAGACCCAGCCAGGAGGCTCCTTTATTACTGTGCAGTAATATATCTACATGTGCATTACAGTGCAGTAACTAGTTGAGTGTAAATTTACTACCTGCATCACGTTGGTGTAAGCCCCATAGTTACTGTGCAGTATGTGATTGCACATGTATATGCATGCCGATACTGCACAGTAATTTTTGGTTACTGTGCAGTAAATGTGCATGTCTAGACACACCCACAGTATACAAAACAACCAATTATAGATGAGCATAAACTGAAGAAAAAGCAAACTTGTATATGAATCTGAAAAGTCAGAGTATTAGACTTCATTACACAGAGATGGAGATCTAATCATTTAACTGAAATCTGTGCTCCCAGGGCTCCAATACGGTCATATTTTGCTCAGTGCAAGATTGGAGGGGATAATGGACAAAGATGGGCTTAAATTACCCTTGCACTCCTTTAATCTCATGACCGGATAGAGGTTGGTTATGTCCCTAGAATAGTTAGAGCATTGCCCAGATGTCTCTACCCTGAAGGTCAATTGGTCAATATGGGAATTGTAGGCAGTTAGGCTTATTAGGTCATGGCCTTTTTCATTTAGGATGCCCTAGAATCAAAGACCACAAGGAAGCAGTTAACATGATAGTTGTATGCCATCCAAGAATTCCCTTATGCACTTCTTACATTTTTGTTTTGCAG